TTTATAGATCCTGCTCAAAAAAGGTTTCAACTGCTTAACCAAGTACAGCTCATTCTTCCTTCCACCTTCTTACTCTGCAACCAAACCAAGCTCCCCACACTGCAGGTAGGTGCCGAGAAATTCCGCGGCCTGAAAAAATAATCCACGCAGGTCAAAGGCAGATTTTACTCCAGGGTTAAAGCTACTGTCCCTAAGAACTCTAAAAACACTTTTGGAGGATCCAAAATTATTTCTGAAATCTCCTGTCTAGTAAAAGTTCTTTTTCTCCCCGAACAGCGTATCAAATGATCAAATCCTGAGAGAGAAAAGAAGCAAAGTAGCAAACACATCAGCAACAAGTCACTACTAGGAACACAGAAAATCCCAGAGGTAGAAAGCAGTATCTCTGAACCATGGACAGACTTAGGAAGTTCGGAAGGATTCGAGGGCTTCCCTTCCAGAAAGACAATTCTGGATAAACTCCCGAGAGTAGGAAGCCTGTGGTTTGTAATTGGTGTTCTACCTCTCCCTCCCTGGGACTGAAATCACGCTCTCTACCTGCTGACACAAAGTGAGGGTGGAGCAGCTACAGGCAACCACCCCCCGTCCCGCCCCTCCTCCCCCTGGCTGGCTGGGGCACGGCTTGGGTGCGCGCACACTCGAAAAGACGCCTTCTTCGGCTCGCTTCTTTCACAGCTCCTCTGCTCCCTCTATTGAGTCACAGCCAAACTGCATCCAATTCAATCCTCAATACCTTTATTGGGGTAAGCAAGATACCACCTGTAAATTAGGGACAAACAGGTACTAAGCAGATTCTGCATCCAAGAGAATGGAGATGGTGATAAGAGGAAATAAAAAGAGAAAGGTAATCCAGAAGATAAAAGAATGGCTACAAGGTTTTGCAAATATAATCAAAGGGATTCCTCTGCTCTTTCTGGGTTTTAGTGTCTCTTAACTGGCACAAAGCTAGAATAAAGTTTCTGTGCTGTAGTGCCAATTTTTGACTGTCTTATGTGACGGTATTATGTATTACCCTGACACAAACTCTGTCTACTTTATGCATAATTTTCTTCAGCTCTTACTAATTTAAATTCAGTAGCTCTTTTTCTAAACTGCCTATATGGAGCTTTTAGATCAGGTTGTCAAAGATCAGGAATCTGTTATTCTCTTCTCACATCTTTGGGAGCTGAAATACTACTATGGATCATACCTAAGCCCTCAGTGTAAGATTGCAAGTTAAGTCTATGTCACAAATACAAACAAACAGGTAAAATATATATGCTTAATAAGTAGAGTGTAGGCAAAAATAAATTTTTGGCTAATTACCACATTCATGAACTATAACTGTTGGAAGTATTACAAAAATTTCTGATACATGTTTCTAAAATTTGAATTTTCAAATCTAGCAGATTATATTTGACTGCAGACATACATTTTTTGACCTGTTAACAATCTTTCCAAATTGTACAAATGTACATTATGAATGTGGTTACCACTACAGAACTGTATACTTAAAAATGATTAAGATTTATGTGTTATGGTTATGTAAGTTATGTAGGAAGCACATAAGATTAATATATTTTGATAAATGAATTGTACAAATGAATTGTACAAATTGATAAAGCATAAAATGTGGATAGTAATTGCATTGTAAGTTTGTTGTAAAGATTAAATGATATAATGCCTCTGAAAGCAAAAGGTATGAGTGGCCTATTCATCTTGAGCATTTTTTCCCTAAAGAGGGTTTATGGGGATAGTTTTGGCATTTGGGGCCTAATAATTAACCTAGAACAGAGAGATAAATTCTAAAGTAAATTCTTAAATGAGCACTAATTTATTTGTTGGACCTTAAGAGCATAATGCAAGTATAGATTCTTCTATAACTCCTTTCCTAAAGAATATGAATAGACCTAATTCTTTTGGAGGGAATACTTTTTAATGTTTATTTTTAAGGCTTTTTAAAATTGAAGTATCATTGATACAAAAGCTTATGAAGGTTTCATGTGAACAACAATGTGGTTTCAACAGTCACCCATATTATCAAGTCCTCAACCCCCCACTGCAGTCACTGTCAGCATAGTAAGATGCTAGAGAGTCATTGCTTGTCTTCTCCATGCTATATTGGCTTCCCCATGACATACCTATATTGTGATTGTGAATTATAGTGCCCTTTAATCCCCTTCTCCCCCCTCCCCAGCCCCCACTTTGGTAACCACTAGCCCCTTCTCAGAGTCTGTGAGTCTGCTGCTATTTTGTTCCTTCAGTTTTGCTTTGTTTTTATACTTTTGGGAGGGAATTTTAAAAAATTTGCTATGGTTTTATATTTTTATTTTATGTATGTCATACAATAGTAAAGCATGAAAAATGCAAATTACATTATTATATGTAATAGATATATGCAAAACTATCTTTAAACCAAGCAAAAGGTAACCTATTAATGGACTTTGCTTTCCCTATTCCTGCCTGAAACTTGCAAAAGAATTAAGAGACCTAAACCAAAGAGTTAATACACACACTTCATTGAAGGAAGGAAGAAAATACAGATGTATTTGCCCTCTCTTGAACTACAAGATCTGGAATTATAATATATATCATGAACCTGGGTACCTTGAGATACTCAGGATCAAACCAAGGATCTATATGCAGTTTAGTTCACTGATACACTATATTTATTTAGGTCACCAGAATTGACAATCAAGAGGAATTATTCCCCATCTTCAAGGTTTTGGAGTTAACCTCAGTGGTTGATATATAAGTTCCACAGAGAAGTCATAAAGATGCCATTACTACGATGGAATGCCCATCTCACTGACATCTACTATCTAATCTTACACATGAGACAGATCATCCTTCAGGATCTACTTTCATATCTGGATTGATTAAAGTTACTGAAGACCATGTACTCTTTTCTAAAAAACAGGGTTTCTATAAACATGTCCAAGAATTGTCTTTATCCTTAATGGCATTTTAAAGATTCAATCTCTATTCAAAATGCAACAGAAAAATTTCAGGATACTTTAAAAAAAAAAGTCAGATTCTTTGAAAAACAGTACATTCTCTTTTGAACTTTACTATTATTATGATAATTATATTGACTAAGCTTTCTACTGATCACCAAAAAGTAAAAACAAGAAAGACAAGTCTAGTTGAAACACTCACTTTATTGTTGACTGATTGAAATTTATCTTAATTAAATTAAGGTGCTGAAATACTGAGGTGCTAGTCAACAACCTTGTTAGTATGTGTCAGACCCTACTGGCTAATTCACACCAAGATTTTAGTTTATCTTTTGCCATTTTTCCCAAGTCAGTGACGATAGCTTTAGTTGATAGGTAGCAGGCATGTGAGTATAGCAGGAGATCCAGCTCCTTGGTCTGCTGTATTATATATTAAAAAAGTTTGGAAAGCTGATAAAGGCCTTTCATTAATTAAGCCTTAAGATCACTGAAACCAAATCCATGCCAAGGTTCCCGCTTGACACATGTCCCTCAAAAGGTATTATCTCTTTCAACATATACAAAACTAAGAAAGACATATTTAAGGGAAGGAATATCATTTACGCAGTGTATCAGCTTTTCAGCGTGACAGGGGAAAGGGGAAGTTCCTTCACATACTCTGCCAAAATACATCTTCTGGCCAAAAGATGTAGGAGTCTCAATAATCTGTTCGTCTTTTCAACCTTGCTAATAAAGATGAAACAATGCCTGTCAAGTAGACATCAACTAGTTTTATCAGATGGACTAAACAGGTTACTTTCCAGAACCTACTTTCATATCTCAGCTGAGTCAATACAGATCAATACAGAGCTCATCCTTTTCCAAAAAACTACTATCTCTGTAAATTAGGAAAGCACAATGCAGTTTAAGAAATGAATTGTTATGCCCACAAAGGCTAGCATAATACATCATATCACTAAGTGCCTGTCCTTTTTAAGTAGTTTCATATTCCTAGGCTTTCCTTTTGTTTCTGCAGTGCTTATTAGGAAAACTGAAGCAGAATCCAATAAGAAAGTTCTAGTCAATTTAAAAAACTTTAAATCAGAAAGTTTCTTGCTGTCAATGGATGAGCAAGTGAGGGATCAACCACAGAAACTGGACATCTAAGATACTGCTCCTAAAAACCAGTTCCATAATCCTACTACTTGAATTTAGAAACCTATAGAGGGGATAAGATAAAAATGTTATAGTCTATCCCACTATCCAAAATTCTCTCAGAAGCTTAAACCAGACATAAACTATTAAAAATATCTGAGTTACAGCTTCTATTAAATGGCTACTAATCAGTTTCTCTCAAAATTTGAACATAGTATCTTACATAAATGAGAATTTATATTTACTGAATATAAAAATCTAAAGTAAGACAGTTAAAACTCTCAATGTTTTTGTTTACACATTGTACATTTCCCCTTCAAGAAAAAGTTTTACACATGCATCCTTTATCCTTCTATCTGCAATATTAATACAAATATAAAGCTTTAAAATTTTTAAATCTACCAGCATTTATAAATACAATTAAACAAGTTAAGTACTTTTCTTTAAAAGACATTTAAATAAGCAATGTATTAACAAAACTGTTTTATCATTTATGATGATGTATTATTAAAATTAAAGAACAATATGAAAATAGAAGAATAGAAAACAGAAGAACGCTCCCATTAATATAAAAGAATCAGGGTTGTTAAGTGTGATGTATGGTCCAAGTCCTTGCTCTTGAAACAGAATGCTGGGTTAGGAAATAAGAGCATTTCCTGGTTAATCATTTAGAAAATTAGCTCTTTCCCAGGGATCCTTTCCTAGAATTCATGACCCATTTAGATCTGTGATCTTAGTGACTTCACATGCCTTTGTTTCTCATGTAATCTTCTCTAAAAGGATCACACTGTGACTTGACTGAATTCACCAGTGGAGCTGTGCTGACTAGTGTCTGAAAGTGACAAGCAGACAAATCAGCACACAGATTATTCTCCAGTACCATAGATGCAGCAGTTTTTAGATGCTTCTTGACTGTAACAGAAGGCCAGGACTTTTCATTTAAAAGGGATCTGGGCAGCAAAAAACATGCTGCTAGATGTTTAGTAGTTTGCCAAGGTAAATCATCTGAACTGAACAGCTGTAGTAAATACCAAATACCCAATTTTCAATTAACGAAACAAAAACACCTTTTCTTTCCTTAACAGAACTTTTAAAATCCCAACAGTGTGTCATGTGCAAGGCTAGTCTGCCTCCAGGTACAGCTAGTGCACAATGTCACTTTGTCATCCATGCCTCACTCCTTTAATTCTTCCTCTTTTAGAAAGTGCTCCTGCTTGCAGGCCACATCCACCAGCAGATGAAGATCTAGAAAGAAAGAAGGTTTGTTTACTCACTCTTAGCCTGTCAGAGTCTAGAGTTTGAAATACAAGTTTTCAGACAAGAAGAACAAGTTGCTTATGTTTCATCTGCAGACTTGGTTCTAAAACTATAGTATTGCATCAGATTCTCAATTTTAGGACTTTATCATTATTGTACCTCTACAGCACTCAGATGTAGGCCAGATGTTAACCCAGAGACTAACAAAGTTTAAAGTTTCTATCCTTTTAGTGATGTGGTCAAGCTTCTTTGCATTTCAATTGCTTTTTATTATAAGTGAAAAATTAATGCAAAGTATCAAAGGGATCACAGTGAAATACACACAAATGCAAATTCATTTCTTTGATACCATAATAGGTGGGCAGGTGCAGTGTAGGAATATGAAAAAGTAATGTCCTCAGAAATACATTATCAGTAATCACTACTTTACCAAAGTTGATTGCCTCCATAAAATTTCCATGTAATGACTACCACAACTGATCTCTTGTAAACACACATATCTGAACTGTCTGTAAAAAAGAAAGTATACCCTTCACAGAGGTCAAGAGACAAAGAGTGGTTCATTAAGAATGGAAAGAAGTAAAAAAGTGAGCTCTTAGCTTATGTACTAGGTTCTGTAATAAAAAAAACAAAGACCATGTATGGAAGTAGAGCAAATGGAGAGGTTCAAGATGGTGGAGTAGGAAGACAAGGCAGAAACCTCCTCTCACACACACACACACCAAAGGAAGCAACTACACCAAATACAACTAAACCTGAAAATCAGCTAAGACTGAGGAACAGACCACCTACAACTGGGGAAAAAGAAAAGGCCACACAGAAAAGGTAGAGTGGCAGAGATGCAATCGAGTAGGACCAAGCCCTTCCCTGATACCAGCCTACAGGCAGGAGGAAGAGGAACAGAGCAGGTAGGGTGTAAGGAAAATGGACTTACTATTGTCAGGAATGTTTGCCTGACCTACTGTGCAGGTGCAATGCTATCTCAGGCTTATGTGATAATTGGCCTACTGTGCAGGTGCCTGCTTACACATGTGTTGGCAATGAGCCATTATTGTCTGTGTTGCTATCTAAAGACCTCTGCCCAGTACTCTAAGCAGATTGTGGATTGCAGGCTTGCCACATGTGGATGCAGTGGGTGTAATCTAAGCATTCCACTGACTGCTGCAAGAACAAAGCTGGGTATGAACCCTTTTCCCAACATTCTGTTATTGTTTTGTGGTCCAGCTGAATCCAGAGTAACCTTGCTTAAAGCTACAATCTCATGCTACAAGGGGATGGGTGCCCAGGAACTCTGTGCACCTGGCCCTGGAGATCTGCCCTGGGAACAGGAGCCCACATTGCATTGGGTGCTGGTGATTAGTGGGACAGGACACCAGGGACAGTTGGAACACTCTGGGAGGATGATACACCAGCTGCCTGTGGAGGACAGGCACACTCTGCAGGTCCTACTGAGGCCCAACATAGAGACAGCAGTCTGAGAGACTTGCCAGCACTGGGTGAGGAGTCAGAGGGGTGAAGTTTAGATGGCACTATCGCTGCAGCAGAAAGGGCAGGTGGATGATACCTCCCCATTCCTCCTTCAGCTCAACAGGTCCGGCATTTTTAGGAGCCCCAGACACTCTACACCCCTTGCTGGTGGCTCAGCCCTGAGGCACTTCCCTGCACACTACCAGCAAGCCAGCCCACTCAGCCCAGCAGTCAGACTTTCTGCCTGATCAGCAGAGGGAGACTCTCCCAGCTTTGGAGGTCCTGTTTCAGCCCAACTGGGAGCATGCCTGCAGAAGCCAGCTCTGAGAACTCCTTCCTCCCAGGGGGCCAAGCCTGGTGCTGCCCACCTCACTACTGCTAAGGGTCCCTGCAAGGCTGGCCTCCCACCATGCACATCATGTCACCTTGGCAAGCCCATGCCCCCTTCCACTGTGTAACTCACGGCCTCCATGCATCCACGCACCTTCCCAGCACACAACTCACTGTAACCACTGTCTGGCACCAGTGCACTCCACAACTTGGTGACTTGCCACTGCCGAACCAAAGCATCCTGCCATTGTGAAACTCGCTGTGCAACCACCCTGCCCACCCCATTAACAGAGCAGCACTGCCACAGCAGCAGGGCAGGCAGAGGGCAGCCCCACCCACAACAATCCCAGCAGAAACCATTACTCTAATCACAAAAAGCCAGTGAGGCAAACTGCCAGCCTCAGCAGACTGAGATAAACCACTGCTGGGAGACAGACATAAAGGTGACCCTGCCCATTACCCACCAGAGCAACAGGGGCTCCATACCAAAGGAGAACCAGGCACTGGAGAGTCCTGAGCTTCCAGGCACCACAGGATGCCTTCTTCATAAAGCCATCACTCTCTAGACAATGAAGCATAGCACATCCATCTAATACTAAGGAAGAAACACAGAAACCCTGACAAAATGAGGAGGCAGAGGGTATGTTCCAAACAAACTACAGGATAAGACACCAGAAAGAGGGCTAAATGAAATGGATATCACAAAACTTCTTGATAAAGACTTCAAAGTAAAAGACATAAATATGCTCACTGATCTAAGAACTGTATTAAAGATCTCAGTGGGAACTTCACAAAGCAATAAAAGAGCTGAAGAATACAGTAACTGAAACATACAATGGAGGGAATCAGTAACAGAGGAGACAATCAATGAGATGGAAATTACAGAACAGGAACACAATGAAGCTGAGGAACAGAGAGAAAAAAAGGGTCTCTAGGAATGAAAGAATGGTAAGAAAGCTGTGTGATCAATTCAAATGAAACAATATTTGCATAATAGGGGCACCAGAAGGAGAACAGAAAAAGGGATAGAAAGTCTCTGTGAGGAAATCATTGTTAAAAACTTCCCAAATCTGGGGAAGGAAATAGGTTACAGAAGCTCAGAGAGCCCTTAACAAAAGGAGCCCCAGGTAGACAAAACCAAGACATATAATAATTAAAATGGCAAAGATTAAGGATAAAACAAGAATATTGAAAGTAGCCAGAGAGGGAGAAAGGATTACTTACAAGGGAAACCCCATCAGGCTATCATCAGACTTCTCAGCAGAAACTTTACAGGCCAGAGGGAGTGGCATGAAATACTGAATGTACTGAAACAGAAGGACTTTCAACCAACAATCCTCTACCCAGCAAGATTATCATTCAAATTTGAAGCAGGGATTAAACAATTTCCAGAAAAACAAAGGCTCAAATAATTTATAACAACTAAACCAGAATTATATGATATGTTATGTGGACTGCTGTAGATGGAAATGTTCCTAAGTAAATAGTTTTCACCAGTGAAAATAAACCCACAGTAAGGACTAGAGCAATTAATTACCAAGCAAGTACAAAAATAAAACAAAAGTAGCAAAACCAACTATATACAAAACCAATCAAGGGATACACAAAAAATGCAGATTATGACATCTAATACATAAAGTGTGGAAGACGAGGAAGAAGAAAAATTACTTTTGAATTGTGTTTGAAATAGATCAATCAGTAACTTAATATAGACTATTATATTGCTTGGAAGCTATTCTTGAAACTTTGGTAACCACAACCTAAAGTCTATAATAGATACATAAAAAAAATTAAAAAAGAAATCCAACCACAACACTAAAGAAAACCATCAAATAACAAGAGAAGACTATAAGAGAGGAAGAAAGAAAAGAGGAGCTATAAAACAAAACAATTAACAAAAATGGCAAAATACATACCTATCAATAATTACCTTAAATGTAAATGGACTGAATGCACCAATCAAAAGACAAAGAGTGGCAGAATGGATAAAGAAACAAGACCCATCTATATGCTAACAAGAGACTCATTTCAGACCCAAAGACATACACGGACTAAAAGTGAAGGATGAAAAAAGGTATTTAGTGCAAACAATAGGGGGAAAAAAGCAGAAATAGCAGTATTTAATCAGACAAAATAGATTTCAAAACAAATTAAGAAGAGACAAAGAAGGACACTACATAATAATAAAGGGGTCAGTCCAACAGGAGTCTATAACCATTTTAAATATCTACACATCCAACATAGGAGCACCCAAACATGTAAAAGAAATACTAACAGAATTAAAAGGGGAAATAGATTACAACACATTCATTCATTGTAGGAGACTTTAACACACCACTCATATCAACAGATCAACCAGACAGAAAATAAACAAGGAAACAGAGACACTGAATAATACATTAGACCAGATGGACTTAATAGACATCTACAGAACACTCCATCCAAAAGCAGCAGGATACATATTGTTCCCATGTGTACATGGAACATTCTCCAGAAGAGAGCACAGACTAGGCCACAAAAAGAGGCTCAATAAATTTAAAAAGATTGAATTGTATCAAGCAATTTCTCAGACAAAATGGTATGAAAAACTAGAAATAAATTACACAAAGAAAACAAAAAAGCCTACATGGAGTCTAAACAACATGCTTCCAGATAATCAATGGATCAATGACCAAATTAAAACAGAACTCAAGCAATACATGGAGACAAATGAAAACAAAAATACAACAGTTCAATATTTATGGGATGCTGCAAAGGCCATTCTAAGAGGGAAGTACATAGCAATACAGGCTTACCTCAAGAAACAAGAACAATCTCAAATAAACAGTCTAAACTCACAATAAAAGAAACCAGAAAAAAGAACAAATGAAACCCAAAGTTAGTAGGAGGGACACAATAAAGACCAGAGCAGGAATAAATAATATAGAGAAGAATAAAACAATAGAAAAAAAAATCAATGAAACCAAGAGCTGGTTCCCTGAGAGAATAAACAAAATAGATAAACCCCTAGCCAGACTTATCAAGAAAAAAAGAAAGTACACAAACAGAATTAGGAATGAAGAAGTCACAATGGGTACCACAGAAATACAAAGAATTATTAGAGAACACTATGAAAAATTATATGCCAATAAATTGGACAACCTTGAAGAAATGGACAAATTCCTAGAAAAAGACAACCTTCCAAGACTGAC